ATGCTGGGATTTGGGTCTTTGCAGCGATGGCTCGGTGGAAGCTCTTTGGAGAGAGGGCAGTCCGGCAGGTGTGCTGTCCCACATTCGGAGGGCAGACGGCATCGCTTCCCCCTGCGCTCCCAGGGAGCCGCCACCTCTCCCCGGCTGGGAGAGGGGGAGCGGCGGGCGGATTTCCCGGCTGCGCCGGGCGAACGGAATCCCTCATTCCCCACTCCGGGGCTTCCGTGGAGAGTCGGTACCTGCTGCTGCCCGTGCCCGGGTGCCCGTGGCCGGTGTCCCTGATCTGATCCTGCTGCCGGATCCTGCCCGGCCGTTCCTTGTGGCGGAGCGGCCGCGGGGGCAGCGGAGCATCCGCGGCTCAGGGGCTGCGCGGCCGCGGGGGGAGTTGGAGGGGCCGGCGGCCCCCACAGGGAAGGGCCCCCCTGCCCGCGGGAGTGCGCGCTTGAATCCCTGCATCGTCCCTTGGGAGCTGCAGCCCGGGCACGTGTATTTTCCAAGGCTGCGGGCTCCTGGCATCGCTGGGGACAGGACAGGATTTGGGCAGGAGCTGCGTGGTGCCCTCAGCACGTGCCCTTGTGCAGTCCAAAGAAAGGGAGTTTTATTGCATTCCCAGGAACTGCTCCAATAGCTGTTGACTTCCCCCTGCCTTCTCAGGGTAAGGATGTGGTGACAGCAAGAAGGCAATTGGTGGGATTGGAGGGCACTTGCTGCATTTTGGTCATATGTGTAACCTGTGGAATGGGTGCGTTTCCTAGGAGAAAACATTCTGGAGTGGCAGAATGGTTGCCACAGATACCACGTGAGTGCCACACCGTGGTGTGAGCCTTCAGGCCCTGCAAGTCCTCGCCCAGACTTGGTGAAGTGTTGAAGTATGAACTGACTGCTGGGAGTAAGGATGTGTCTGGCAAATGGCAGTGCTGCCCACTGAGCCGCTGTTTCCAGAGAAGAGGGTCCTGTCTGACAGGCAGCAGGCAGTGGACACGGCTCAGTTGCCATGTCTGCCATGGACGGGCACGGAACTGGACAGCTGTGCTTCTCGGAACGGTGGTGGCTCGTGGCTGAGGTGCTGCTGTTGGAGAGGGCAGCAGTGGTATCTGCTGCTGGGCAGATGGCCGGGAGTGGGTCATATCCAGGGAGCAGCACAGGCAATACGAGCAGGATGTTGGAGGACGTGGGATTTCCTTGAAAGTTCACCTGTTTGTAGCTTTCCTCCCGTGGCTTGGAGTCTCTTTGGTAGCTTGTGACCCGTGTCAGGTTTCTTTGGTTTGGTTTTGTTTTTCTTGATCAAATGAAAAGGGTGGGTTTTACTACAGGCAAGATTAAGGCGGTTTTCAGAAACGCTGGAGAGAGCTGTCTAATGTTCCATCAGGGTGTCCAAGCTGTCTGCTGTCAGTGCAGAAAGGCAGGCAAGCTGCAGGGTTGCTGCACTTGCTGTGGGGGCTGGAGTGAGAAGCAGCTGGAAGTGTTTGCTCTCTGCTTGGTCCCCGCCTTCTCCTCAGTTCCCTGGGACTCCAGGTAATCACAGCTCACCTTGGCTTTCCCAGGGCCCTTGCTAAAGGGTTTCTAAGTGTGGCCCTGAGATTTTCTGGAGTTGGAATTGATTGCTGTTCCAGGGCATGTCTCACTGGGCAAACTATGTTTTCACATTGCCCAGGGCAGGATAATTGCAGCAGAAGAAAGCCAAGGTGGCCCAGAGCCTGGCCCAGGAAGGCCCAGGCCTCTGGCAAGCCCAGGGCTTGCTGCTTGGTTGTTGATTGTGCCGGTTCCGGTCCTGCACTGTCTGCTCAGGGCTTGTTCTTCACCATTCAGCTGCAAATGAGAGGGGAGCCAGAGGCAGAAAATGCCCCTGCTGCTGGGGCTGAAGTGTCTGCGGTGCCTGGGGGCTGGCAGGACTTGGCCCTGCTGCCTGCATGCTCTGCAGTGTCCAGGGAGGGATCCCAGAGGTCACCCCCCTGCGTGCTGTGCTGCACAGCAGGGGCTGGGCTTACCTGCCAGGTGAGCCTGGGGGAGGCCGTGGTGGGGCTGAGGGGCTGCTGCTCCCTGGGGGTCTCTGGGTTTGCCTTGGAATCCCAAAGCCTCTGCCTGCATGGAGGGAGACAAAGGTGACTCTAAATCAGTTTATTGTTGAGTGTTTTGGTGCTGAGTTCATGCTTTTGGCTTGTTGTGTGTCACTTCCCAGCCTCGGTCGGGGCTTCCAGTGGAGTGTTGCTGCTGCTGCCGAGAGAGAGAAATCCTTTGGGAAGCTGGGATACAACCAGCAACTCTGTGAATTGCTCAGCTTGTCCTAGGTAAGAGCAGGTTTTAGGGAAGAAAGGCCTGTAGTGAGTAATCAGAAGAGAAGGGTGAAAACCAGGAGCCTTTGACTTCCCCAGTGCACTCCATTATCTTCTTCTGCTCTCTTTCAGGACAAGGAAAATCATTGACTTGGCTCCAGCTCTGCCAATGCCTTGTGGTGTAAGCAGCCAAAGGCAAGAGGCTCCAGTCCCGCCGGCCGTGCTGGGGGCTCCTGGTCCTGCTAGTCTGGGGTTCCTGGGCACTTCCTATTAAAGGATACCATGAGAATAATTTTGGACTGAAAGGGGAAAGGAGCTGTGTCTGTGGGAGTTCAGCTGTGCATGACAAAAACTTTCTGCTTTTTCAGTCAGTAAGGTCTTCAAATGTCTTGCAGTGTGTAGGAATGCCTGGCTTCTAAAACTCACCAGCTGAGTCTTAGAGGCTTCTTTGCCGAGCTGTTTTCAGGCAGACAAATGGGCCCCCAGCAGGGACTCTGTGCCTGCTCTCCCGTGGTTCCGAGGGATCTCTGGGCCTTCACGCTGGCACTGAGATGTTCTCGGGAAGGCCCTCAGATCCCCGGAGCAGTCTGGGACACAGGCACGATCCCCCTGCATTTTGGGATCAGATTGAACCCCCTGGAGGGACAGTGCTGTTGGTGCCCCCTGGGCTTGGGGACCCTGAGGACTCGAGTGTGAACTGAAAGGATTCTTTGGGGAGCTCCTGTGGGTGCCCCAACCTGGGAAGCTCCAAGCAAGGTCCCTGGAATGGATTCAGGCATTCCTGAGAGTTATCAGAGGTGTACCTGTCCATCCTGGCCCTGGAGCTCTAGAATGGACTGTAATTGGGTTATAAAAGTGGTGCTCCAACTGCAAAAGAAGTGTGGGATTGGGATTAAGGAATGAGCAGTGATGGTACCATTGGCTGTTTTCTCTCGACAGGAATTGTGAGAGCTGCAGGAGTGCAAGGTGTGGGTTCCAGTCCCCACCATTTGGTTTGCACATGTCCTGGTCAGACACAGGTCCAGTTTCCTCAGTCCTTAACTCAGCAGGGGGAGAATTAAGGGATGGCCCTGTGAAGGTGATTGGTGTGACAGGGATTTTAACTGGGAAAACCTTGGGTAATTCCTCAGTTTCTCTCTTTGCCAAACTTGCCCAAACCTCTGCTAGGAAGAGACTGATTGGAAAAGTTGAGGCAGAAATTAAATTGGAAAATGTGGAGATTGAAATTGTAATTCCTGAAACTAAATGTGGAGATTGAAATTGTAATTCCTGAAACTAAATGTGTGAGAGCAGCAGCTCTTCTTGTGCACGAAATAACTCCTGTCAGCAGCACCGTCCCCACTGAAGTGGCAGATGGAGTTGTTGCTGCCATGTGGGCCAGTGGAAAACAGTTGTGGCCTATGAAGGGCCAGGTTGGACACTTGTCAAACAGTAACAGAAGTGGCTCTCCAGGTATCCCAATATAAATATGGGAAGCAAAGAGATCAGGTAAACCAGTTCATTCTGTGGCTGCAGAGGCAGGGATAGATTGGGAACCCAAAAAGTAGAGTGGAGATAGTCGGTATTCAGCTGCTTTAGAGTGTGGTTCAGAGGGTGAAGTGTTTGCTGAGGCACAGCCAATAACAGGAGGGAAACTGGAAGGTGACCCTGATGGTTATCCCGCCAGGCCTGATGTGGTGGAGAATTTTACTCAGCCTGAAAGGGGGGAGTCTGGATCATTGCCTTCTCTTTCTGCAGGGACACTGAGCTGGTCCAACTGTGGCAAGAAGAGCAAGTGAGCTGTGAAGGTCTGGGCAGTCTGAAAGGTTCCTTGTGCCCAAAGGATCCTGGCAAGTGCAGCACTGGAAGAGTCAGGAATAATGAAAAGTGCCCCAGTTCTCATCAAGCTCAACTTTGTAAAACATTATTGAAGATAAAATTCCTCAGCAATGAGCTGTTGGGTTCCAAATAATATTGGAGGGAGAAGCAGAAACTCCCCCTGGTGCTGGGGCTGAACTGTCTGCAGTGACCAGGCCAGACTTAGCCCTGATGCCTGAGTGCTCTCCAGTCCCCCAGGATGGATCCCACCTGTCAGCTCCTGTCTCCAAAACTTGAGGAGAGGGTGTTCCTGCAAGCCCAGCTGCTGTGTTGGTGGTCCTGTGTGCACCTCTTGCCCTGCTGTGACTGTATTTGTGTTGCAGCTCAATAAAGTCTCAATAAAGCGATGATTGTGTGATTGGTGTCAGTTCCTCTCAGTTCCTCTCCCCTCTTCCCCTTGCCCAGCTGTTGCATCACTGACTTGTGCCTAAATGAACTCTTGCCCTGCAGCAGTTCTCTGCTGCTCTCAGAGAGGGTGCTCTGAGAAAAGGCAAAAAGGTTCCATCTAAGCCAGGCCCGTGCTCCCCCCCTGCCTTCCTGCAGCATCCTGTGTTCGCAGTTGCCATCACTGCTGGACATACTGCCTGTTCCTGAACAAACCCCCTTGCTGTTCTCTCTCTGGGTCTCTCCTCCCCACTCCCCTCCTCTGATGCTTCAGGAGCCTGAGCATTGGTTTGGGAGTTCAGGAGCTCGGGGGGTGTTTGCAGCTCTGCCAGGGCTGGAGCTGGGCTGGGCTGTGGAACAGATGCAGGGGGAGCTGGGAGAGCCCCAGGAGCTGTCACTGACCGTGCCGCGGGTTGGGCACAGGCTGGTCCCAGCTATGCCTTTGGTCCCTCAGACCCTGCATCCCTGGTCACGAGGGCAACTGGAGTTTGTCTGGATCCCAGTGCCCTGAACAAGGGTGTTCTCACAAGCACAAGCCCTTGGCTCCATCCAGCCCCCCTTTCCCTCCAGGGAGTCCCAAATCCTCCCCCTGTCCTTGTCCGTTTTCCCGGAATTCCACCGGCCCACATGACAGGAACAACTCCATCTGCCATTTCAGTCGGGATGGTGCTGCTGACAGGAGTTATTTCCTGCTCAAGAAGAGCTGCTGCTCTCACACATTTAGTTTCAGGAATTATAGTTTCAGGAGTTAAAATTTCCATCTCCTCTTTTTTTCAGTTTAATTTCTGCCTCAACTTTTCCAATCAGTCTCTTCCTAGAAGAGGTTTGGGTGAGTTTGGCAAAGCGAGAAACTGAGGAATTACCCAAGGTTTTCCCAGTTAAAACCCTGTCACACCAATCACCTTCACAGTGCCATCCCTTAATTCTCCTTTGATTGTGTTAAGGATTGAGGAAGTTGGACCTGTGTCTGACAAGGACATGTGCAAACCAAATGGTGGGGACTGGAACCCACACCTTGCACTCCTGCAGCTCTCACAATTCCAGTCAAGAGAAAACAGCCAATGGTACCATCACTGCTCATTCCTTAATCCCAATCCCACACTTCTTTTGCAGTTGGAGCACCACTTTTATAACCCAATTACAGTCCATTCTAGAGCTCCATGTGCAGGATGGAGAGGTACACCTCTGATACTCTCAGGAATGCCTGAATCCATTCCAGGGACCTTGCTTGGAGCTTCCCAGGTTGGGGCACCCACAGGAGCTCCCCGAAGAATCCTTTCAGTGTACACTCGAGTCCTCAGGGTCCCCGAGCCTGGGGGGCACCAACAGCACTGTCCCTCCAGGGGGCCCAATCTGCTCCCAAAATGCAGGGGGATCGTGCCTGTGTCCCAGACTGCTCCGGGGATCTGAGGGCCTTCCCGAGAACATCTTGGTGCCGGCGTGAAGGCCCAGAGATCCCTCGGAACCACGGGAGAGCAGGCACAGAGTCCCTGCTGGGGGCCCATTTGGCTGCCTGAAAACAGCTCTTCAGAGAAGCCTCTAAGACTCAGCTGGTGATTTTTAGAAGCCAGGCATTCCTTGCTTACAACACCCTGTGATCATCCCAGCCCACCTGGGGTCCTGGCCATCACCTCCCACAGTGCACACAGAGGTGTCTCCACTGCAGCTGATGGGAGGGCTCAGCATTCCATGAGGGTTCATTTTGTTCCCTGCACTCCTGTTCCATACTCAGGACATTTCCCAACACCTGTTACCATACACACAAACCCTTAGAAAGTCTTTGAGGGGCTCCATCAGGGGTCTCTGGTGGTCACCTCTACCTGGAGCCCCCAAAGTTCTAAGTGACAACCTTATCAACTTCAAGACAATTCACCTGGTTGTAGAGGAACTTGGTGTTGCTTGGCTGCTGCCTCAGTTCCCTTCATTCTTTCTTTACTTTGCTTGTTTAGTCCCTTTAAATCGCTTGGCTCAGCTCCGTGGAGTTTCTAGGGTACATCCCACTGCAAAAACTACTAGTTCTGTTACACCTCAAAACTCAGATATCAGGGAGAGAGGCAGAAATCAACTAACCCAGGGCAATACCTCTAAATACTGGAACAAAAATACCACAACATTCCATGACCTCCCTCTGTAAATAGACACCAAACTGCTCAGACACAAACAATAATAACATGCACACTTACAACAATCTGCCACTGTCGGTTCAACCCAGACAAGCCAGTGGGTAAATTACACAAGGGGAACTCTTTTCAAGTTTCAGTTATGATACAAAAATCAGGGAGATCAGAAACTCCTCCATACAGTTTTACTTGGAGGAGAGAAGGAAACCAAAGCCATCCCCAGCGCTGCAATACCTCAGGCTCCCAAAAAGGCCCAGGGGCTGCACTGGGGCTTTTGGCTGCCCTGGAGCACAGGCAGGAACATGACGTCATCACCCCACAGGCACAGCTGAGAACCCAAAGAGCAGCCACACCAGCAGCTCCTGGAAGCCCTGCTGGGCTGGGCCTTGGGGAAGAAGGGCACTGGCCTTTCTTCCTGCCCAAGAGGAAAACGTCTCCTTGCTGAGCACTTCCCCTGCCCAGGGCATCAGCTCTGAAGGGAAGTTCATCAAATGCAGCTTCTTGGACCAAGAAAGATTTCTGTTTCCCGGAAAATCTCTTTCCAGCTGAACTCAGCACACAGGAGAGGATACAAGGACAGGATTGAAGCAATGGCTCATCAGAAACCCATCAGGACTCAGCAGCATCAGTTCCAATGCTGCTGGCACTTCTTCAGAAAGCCTGGAAAACCCTTGGAAGCGATGCTATTTGTCCTTGTTGTCCCAGCCTCTTCCTGGACCTTGACTGCTTTTAGCACAGATGCTGCTACCTCAGTAAGGCCTTGGAGTAATACTGAAAAGTATTTTAAGACTTTCCTGACTAAAAAAGCATAAAGCTTTTATCATAGACATCTGAACTCCCACAGACAGCTCCCTTCCCCTTTCAGTACAAAGTTATTTTCACAGGATCACTTTATAGGAAGTTCCTGGGAACCCCAGACTGTGCCCTCGAGAATGGAAAATAAACGTAGGGAAGGAGCTTCGCACAAGTGTAACAGACTCCAGAACAGACCTGACTTTAGTTTTACTCTTTGTGTTCAGATATAGCACAGAAAAACTCCAGCAGGAGAGCTGGCACATTTCCCACTGGCACCTTGAAAGTCCATCCTACAGGTGCCGTAGGCAAGCTGCAGTCATACAAGTCCCTCGTGCCTGCAGATGCCTGGGGGTCCTTTCCACCAGCCTCGTGCTCTCCCAGCAGGAGAAAGGGTGACCTCGGGGACACAGTGGCACTCGACATCCTGCTGAGAGAGCAAGGAGACCTTTTCTTGCTAGAGAGAGCACAGCACCTTGCAAACAAGGGCCCGGTTCTCCTGGACATTTCTCCAGCAGGCGGAGTCTTTTGCAGCTGCTCTCACGTCACCCAACCCACTTGGGGTTGGGGTCTCGCACCCGGGGCTCCCCGGCAGGGAAGGAGCGGCGGGGTCGGGAGGGTTCCCGGGGCACCCAGGACTTGTGGTCTCCCATTTCTCCCGCTGGGGAATAAAATGAATCTTTTGAGTTAAAACCGAGGCAATCAGCGAGGGACATCCTGGGGAGGCAATTGATGTTCTCCCAGCTGGACGGGAAGGGACAATTCTGGGGTGAAACCTGAGCTGGGCAGGGGAGGTTTGGGTGTCAAAACCGAGTTCCTGTGCAGGGGACAGAGGGAATGTTTGTGATGGAAAAGCAGAGGCAAATTGGGAGGGGGAGCAGAGGGGTGGCATTTTCCACAGAAATGGTGAGGTAATCTGGATGAAACAAAATCACCTTTTTTTGTGGAGTGAATCCGGGGGTACCTTAGAGAGGAAAAAGGAGCCTTTCTGAGAGAAAGGCTGGGAACTCAGAGAAAACTGAGGCAGCATTTTGGACAGAAAACCTGGGGTTACTTAGAGGGGATTGAGGTGACCCTTTTAGCTGAAACTCTGGGATAATTTAGAGGGGACACAACCACTGTTTTATGTAGGAAAGTGGGAGGTGATGTAGAGGGTAGAG